TCTTGACGGAAAGCAGCAGACTACATCTTATCTTTGTTGTTTTTGTGAATTTTGTAGTACGTGCCCTCCCACCACTTCAAGCCTGCTCCGACATGTTGACGCTCGAAGGAAATCGACCATAGAAAAACATCTGATTCTGATCGTCGTCTTGTCCTCACCTGAACGCTTTTCTTCGAAATGCAGAGAACCAACTCACCTGGATAGACAACCTTAAACCGCGGAAGGAGTAAAGAAGACACAGACTCTCTTGAGTGCTGTTAAGGAGTTAAGTTAATGTTGTTATAAGAAAAAAAGAAACTGTTTTCAAACATGGTTCGGTTGACGATAGACTTGATAGCACGGGTGAACACTCACACCAAGAGGAAACGCGACGAGCCACTGTCACAATACCTGCGGAGACTCACACATCTCTACTTCCAGGAGAGACATATCGATGAAATAGTAAGTAAAATCACTTCCATATAATATAGTATTAGTTACTAGTAAATTTTTGTAATACTAATACTAACTTATCCTCTACATCCCTGCGAAACTCATAACGTTACAAATTTAGTGTTGTGTGATTCTCAAGGTATTCTCTCAAGATGGTTAGACCAAGGACAAAATTATATACTGTATATAGGATTTCTATATATATATTACTTTAAAAAATCATTTGACATTAATTAATGGAAAAGAAAACATTATGCTTTGAATGAAGAAGAGTCCTGGACCTTAAATTTTGTATCTAGATGGAAAACATGCATTTCAATGCAAAATTCAATGTCCCGATACAAAAAAATTCAACATCAAAATTCAACGTCTGAATCCGGTGGGCGGTGGCACACATGAAACACGTTAGAATTATTCTATGGAACATTTGGAAGCCTGTGTGATAACCAAATAAAACCCAGTGTGATATGAAGTGCTAGTTATCACACGGGCCAGAACACCTGTATCAAATACATTATCGCGGCCCAGGTATGATATTAAGGTGGTTATCACACACAAGTAATCGAAATACCAACTGCATTATAAGAGGAGTTACATATAACAATTCCATTAAGTCACATTGCCAATATTTTTAATGATACTGACAGTCATACTGCCACATTTCCTGAACTGGTTAAATTAATCATACTGCATACTACTCTTTATAATCCAATTGGCTTTACACAAAAGCAGGTCAGTTTGTCCCCAAAGATTACTTATAAAAATAAGTCAAACCCGTGCATTCATTCTAGTATTATGATAAATGAATCATTTGGAGAAGTTTATTTGCCATGCCAGTGTAGGCTTGATTGTAGTTGTATGCCACCCCAGCAACGCGAGAATAAAAGTGCAAGAGAGGGCAAGCATGGATGGTAAGGGCCCTGAATGTAATGATTTATTCATTGATGTGGGAGGTGTGATAGTCATGACAGGAACTGTGAACCCAGCCCCTCCCATTAGTTTACATAACAAATCTCTAATGATAAGGACAATTACTTAGCAGCAGGAGTGATCTAGACAGTCAGAATGGCTTCTTCTACCTGACTGTTCAAAAGTTGTCTGAAGCATTCCTGTTCAAAGAGTAGGCCTAGGAATTCATTTGTAAGAGTTACAAGCAATATGATCAGATTGAAGTGAGCCAAATGATGATGGTTGCTCACTCCCACGTTTGCTGCCATTTTTTTTATAATGTCCTTGGTTTGACCTTTGCAAATAACCTCCTTCAGTCCTTGACTGCCAAGCTGTGTCAGTTGTCTAGCCAGCGTCCGTCTTAAAATTTCCGTCATTTCAGAATTTCGGGTTGACGAAAATTTGCTGCTCATCAGACAGACAAAAATTTTGCCCAATCCGCCATCTTTTACAGACAAAAATCGTTGTGTTTAAGACATGGATAAGTCATTAAAATAAGGTTAATGCAGTCTACCACCAAAAGTTGCCTGTCAAAATGCAGGAAATAGCGTCAAACAAAATTGATATGATGGAAAGAGATTTCATGCTGGCTAGAACAAGTTGTCAATGTGTCATGCTGAAAGCTGGTTGTACCATTAGACTAGTGATTATACAGCTAGTATACAGCCCCGTGAGAGAGGCATGCGGATTGCTGTCTGATGTATTTGTAAATATGCTAAGCTGAAGTTGACGTTGCTCGTTCACATGGTCCAAGTATAAAATTACCTTTTGAAGTTGTTTGGACCCGATCAGTGTTCTAGCCAGCTTGGAACTTCATTGTTTGTCATGTCAATTTTGTTTGATGTCAAGTCATTTCAGTGCACAATTGACAATCCTAGGGGGGCATGCTCACCGGGGAAATGTTGAAATCTTGACCCTTTGCAAATGCTATTTCCTACTTTTTGAGGGGAAAATTTTGCTGTTAGACAGTAAAATTAAAAATGACATCTCTTTCCATACCAATTGTGTGTCACGATGGTGGATTGGGCAAAATTTTTGTTCGTCATGAGAGGCAAAATACAAAAAGATGGACGCTAGAACACTGGTTCATGTTGCCTGTTTGATTGATTTATTGTCTTAGATTCTGGCTCCTAATTAGCTAACGGGGACAAACGAGGTACCTGGGAGTAATGATTCTAACTTATCTCTAAGTGTTGTAACTAGGTAATGATGATAATTACTAAGTAACTGCTGCCATGTTTTGAACTCATTAGAGTTGTCATTAGATAAAACTATTTCAGTATTTGGTAATTGTTTTGAAGCAGGGCTCAAAATAAGTTGGGTACATTTACCTTAGTGCAGGTAAAATTGGAGCTGTGCAGGTATTTCTGATGTCTACCTGCACCTAACCTGCACTGGTCCATGTACTGGGTATATGCAGGTTAGTGCAGGTAAAATTGGAGCTGTGCAGGTATTTCTGATGTCTACCTGCACCTAACCTGCACTGGTCCATGTACTGGGTATATGCAGGTTAGTGCAGGTAAAATTGGAGCTGTGCAGGTATTTCTGATGTCTACCTGCACCTAACCTGCACTGGTCCATGTACTGGGTTTACATGGAGGTGTAGATTTGTATTTGCTGCAGTGACTGTTACGTATGAAAGTATAAAAGAAATAATAGCAATGGTTTCATGTATGCAGAAA